GGGGGGGGGGGAGGGTAATCCTCACCCGAGGATATTTTTTCCATTGTTGTTTCAGAAAGAGTGGAAGGGGGGGAGAGAGAGAGAAACATGGATATGAGAGAGACACATCGACTGGTTGCCTCCCGCACACGCCCCGACTGGATGAAGCCTGCAACCCAGGCACATCTGATTCCATGGCTGGAATCGAACCTGGGTCCCTTCAATCCATAGGCTGACACTCTAACCACTGAGCCAAACCCGCCAGGGATCTCACATTGCTTTTTAACCCTTTCAGCATTTCATTTTGCCAGTGTAATGGACTTCTTTTAATTGAGGGTTGGCATAAAAATTTTGACTAAAGAGTCTCAAAGTATGACCTGTGGATCACTTGGGGTTCTTTCAGGGAGTCCATAAAATCTAACTATTTCATAATAATACTAATGTAATTTGTCCTTTTTAAGCCACATTCTTTCACAAGTATACAGTGGAATGTTCAGAGATGCAGGACATGCGATAATGTTATCACTCTGCAGCAATGGAATGTGTGCTTGTGTAATCTTTGGTTTTAGACTTGTCTCAATTTATCCTACAACTCAACAACAACAAAACCAGTCTGCTTTTTAAAAAATGGGCAAAGGACTTGACACACATTGCTGAAAAGATATATAAATGGCCAGTTAGCACATGAAAAGATGCTCATCAGAAAAATGCAAATCAAAACCACAATGAAATACTACTTTACACCCATTAGGATGGATTTTATAAAAAAGAAGACAAAAACCAAAATACACGTTGGCAAGAATGTGGAAAAACTGGAACCCTTGTGCACTGCTCTTGGGAATGTTAAATCGTGCAGCCACTATGGAAAACAGTATGGTAGTTCCTCAAAAAATTAAAAACAAAACTACTATATTTATGATCCAGCAATTCTACTTCTGGGTATATGCCTGAGAGAACTGAAAACAGGGTCTCGAAGAGATATTTCTACACCTATGTTCATAGTACCATTATTCACAAAAGCCAAAAAGGTGGAAGCAACCCAAGTGTCCATCAATAGATTAATGGATAAACAAAGTGGTATACACATTCAATAAACTATTAGTAGGCCTTAAAAGGGAAGGAAATTTGGACACATGATAGAACATGGAAGAACTTTAAAGACATTATGTTACATGAAATATGCCAGTCACAAAAGGACAAATGCTGAATGATTTTACCTAGCAATCAATTCATAGAGACACAAAGCTGGCAGTGGCTGGGGGAAAAGGAGCAGTGTGGTGCTACTGTTTAATGGACACAGTGTTTCAGTTTTGCAAGAGGAAAGTTCTATGGACTAATGTGGTGATGGTTGCATAACAATGTGAATGTAATGCCACTGAATTGGACACTTAAAAATGGTTAAAATGGTAAATTTTGTTACTTATATTTAAAAATATACATTAAAATAAAAAATATTCTCAGTTTAATTTTCTGTAGAGTAAAATTTAATAGATGTAACTAATTCAAACAAAGCTCTTTAGGGAGTCTCTGTGATTTTTAAGAAAGTATAGGGCCCAGCCGGGAGTGGCTCAGCGGCTGAGTTCGACCTAGGATCCAGGCGATCGGGGTTTGATTCCCGGTCAGGGCACATGCCCGGGTTGCGGGCTCGATCCCCAGTCGGGGGCGTGCAAGAGGCAACCGATCAATGGCTCTCTCATCATTGATGTTTCTCTCTCTCTCTCCCCCTCTCCTTTCCTCTCTCTGAAATCAATAAAGATATATATAAAAAAAAAAAAAGAAAGAAAGTATAGGGGTCCTGAGACCAAAAAGTTTGAGAATTGCTGCTTTAGATACAAATACATCCACACACTTCAGGGGCTTGGTAGATGTCTGATTCAAAGATATTTTTTTTTTTTGTGCCAAGTTTTGAATCACAGCCAAACTGAGTAAACTATCAGAAAATGTATAGGGGGTAATTTCCTCAAATTGGTCCGAAATGAAAGCACATGACATTCTCCTAACTATAGATGTACTAGTCAGTAGCTTAAGAGAAACTGGAGAGTGTAAAAAGACCATTCTCAGCATGAGAGAGATCAGATTTAGCTGTGAACTGTAGAACAAAACCAGTAAGGCTTACCTGCATGCTATATGACCCATCATGGTTATATGTTACAGCTATGGCTATATCTTCCAGGGAAAAAATAAAACAAAATTAGAAGACCTTCATTTATTCAGTAACTGAGATTCCAAAAATCCAACTTTCAATATAAAGATAACTAGCTGTTAGTGATATTAACATCTGTTAACTCCCTGGCAATAAAGATTTAAAAACAAACAAACACCAAAACACTTACCAGGCAGGTTTCAATAGAGGTGAATTTCAAACTTTTCTTGTTTAGAAATGGAGTTTAGCTTTTTAAGGTTGTAGGCTATTTTAGATATGTTTCCCTCTACAAGAAAGGCTGCAGTGTTATAGCAAAAAATGCAATTAGATGGGACAAAGTTCTGGTTTAAGACCCAAATCTGCCATCTGTGTGGCGTGATCACCTCTGTGATTTGACTGTCATTTAAAATCTCTGAGTCTTGATTCTCTGATCCATTCAACCCATTAAATAGACGAGATGTAACAATGATTACATCAATGTGAAAGTACTTTATAAACTGTAACGGGCTATACAAATGTAATAAACAATGTACTCATATTATTATGTGACTAAAGAATTGGTTAAAGACTATCCTGGGAGATGGAAATCAAAACTTCTGTGGGGTAGAGAATGCAGACCAAAGTCATTTCATCAAGTCCTGATACTTCAGCCATGATTTTGATGCCGCCAGTTCAAATCTGTTTCCAGCTCCAAACTTCCTTCCCCAAAACTCTAAGTCATGACAGCTAAATGTTCCATCCCTACTCTAAAATGGACACAGTGGGTCCAACAAATCTTCTCCCACCTCCACCTGCTTTCCCTGCTGACCTGTGAGCTCCACAACTAGCAATGTTATTCCCCTTGTCATCCAGGTTTAAAACCTGTCGTTCTTGCCTCTCCTTCTCCTTTGCTTTCTGCCTCCAACAGTCACCAAAAAGCCACCAAATTCTTCCCTTTGAACGCCCGTCCTACCCATTTCTTCCACGCCGCCCTGCTGCAGACAGTGGGCCTCAGGCCTGGCTGACCTGAGGGGTGCTCCTAGGACTTCCTGCTCCAGTCTCGACCCTTCCAGCTGATGCTTCCTAGCGTGTCCCGACCACATTCAACATACTTGGCTTTGTACCGAGAGCACAAAGCTCTCAGTCTTCTTTCCCACCGTTCTTCTACTCAGCCCTATGTCCAACCCGGCGGGAGAATGGACCGATTCCTATTCTCTACGCGTCTCCATCCTTCCCATGACCAGGCCCCTCCGCCCGAGCCCCCGCCCTCCTTCACATCCTGCTCACTTGGGAAGAGCCTGTCTAGGTGAGTGAATCCCCTCTCCGCTGTACATTTAGACTTCTGCATATAAATGCCATTATGATTCTCCCCTCATCCCGGGTTATGATAAAGTGATAGTTCTCTGCATCATTTGTTTTAAAAATTGCAAAAATAAAAAGTCCTCCCAGTTGCCCAGATGTAAGTCCTATTAAACACTTGAATGTGTGAATCCTTTTGGACCTTTCAAAATGCACATTCAAGTTTGTATTTTTCTTTTATAAAAATAGGACATTGTTATACATATTGTTCTGCAACCAACTTTATTTTAGTTAACATGTGACATACATATCTCCTTTGTTCTTTCCATAGTAGCAAGGCGATAGTTTGATGATGATGATGATGAGAGTTAATGTTTATCGACTGCCTGTGAAATGCCATACAATGAGCTAAGTACTTTACATGTGTTGTTTCATTTAATATCTACAACAACACAAGGAAGTAATTCCCACTATCATGCCCATGTACGGCTGAGGATACTTTCTGCTTACAGAGTATGTGACTTGCCCAAGGGTCACAGACAGCAAGAGCCAGAATTCAAACCCATACTGTCTAACTCCAGGGCCTACATTATCAGCCGACACCACCCATCTTCCCAACACTCACACACTTCTCTGCCAGGTGGTAAATTCCTTAAGAGAAAAATACAGGGATAAAGGCACCTTTTTTTCCCTTCTTTACATTATTCAGAATATCTGCTTCTTCAAAAATTTTGTACTGAATGTATGAATGAATGAAACTTCTCCACCCTGTATCTTGTCAACATCTTTAACCCCTTTTAAGAGAAAATGCATCCAATTACCCCAGATGAGTTTTCTTTCAATTTATAAAACATAAAAAAGTATTTAAATGACATGAATGCCATTAGAATCATAGTAAAGTCACAGCCAGAAAAAGTCTAAATTCTTGTATATTTTACAGGGTAACTCATCTTGTTTCTCCCTCTCCTAGATATCTCTTGATATCCCAAAAGAGAATCTTAAATATCCTCTTATATATTTAATAGGTATGAAAGTTTAGCATGAAGCAGTGTTAGGTAAGCACATGTACTCTAAAGTGTGGGTTCAAATTCTGGCTCTTCCAATTACTTTTGGTGTGCTTGTAAGAAAATTATCCTTCTCTCTAAGTCTTTTATGAAAATTTTATAAAGTTGACACTAGTAATAACACCAATTTCACTGGCCTGTTTTGAAAATGCAAAAGAAATAATTCATGAAAAGCACTTAACACAATATCTGACATATATCAAAAAATAAATCTTAGCTATTATTATTATTATTGAGGGCAGGGAGGGGATCAGTGAAACATGGCCACTAGTAACAAAGTGAGAATATCTTCCGAGCCCCGATTATATACAATACTTGGTCATTCTCGCTGAGATTGTTAAGAGTTGGTTCTACTTTAGATTCGTCAATGCTTCTGGGCTCTTAGACCTCTTGTTTGGTGCGCCCTCATTTAACCATAGTCATTGCTGATTAGCATAACATTTCTGAAAGTGGTTACATTCAGACCTGGATCATTGGTGAAAAACACTGCCAAAAGGAAGTAGTGAACAGCAATCACGCTGGCTTTTCAATTATATATTTAGCTAGTTAGTTAAAAAAATTCTAAGAAATGCAATATAATTCAAAACATTGCTCAGTGCCTTTGTGAAGATCCATGCCAAGTAACACAGTGGCTTATCTGAATTATAATCACACAGGCTATTTTTCCGTTTAATTTAGGCTGAAGAGGCCACTAAAATTGTATTGCTGCTGATATTTGTACTCAGCATATTCAGTCTAGAGCAAGGCACTTCCATATTTTGGATGAAAATCTTGTCCTGTTTTTTGGGATGGAATGAATAAATACACCAGCATAAAATGGATAGCTTACCCATTTGCAGAATGCCACTCTACAGGGGATGTCTGCAAACTTTCTTACCAAGTACTCTAGGTACACTTAAGGTAATGACCAGATATCTAGGCTCAGGATGAAAAGATATCTAAAGAGCTGTAACCCAGTCAGCTTGTGTTAACAAAGACTGTTAAGAAGTGAGTGGGTGTCTACATAGAATCTAGGTAAAGAGGAGGGTGCTGTGACGAGCTGGCAGGAAGATTCTGTTCTATCTCATAGGTGTGTTTTATGGAGCTGTCACAGTTCAAGGATAACTCACCGTCAAGGCTACCCAGCCCTCCCAGCTCTGACTCTGCACCCCTCTGGCTTCCCACGCAATCTGTACTGCAGCCCCCAGCTACCACATGATTCTGGTTCCTCTGGTGCACTGTTCCAGCCAAAATTTTATAAACTCCTCTGGCTTAGGTGTCAGCCTCTCCTAAGCTCAGTTACAATAAATCAGCCCTGAGCCTACTCAAATTAGTTTGCAATAAAAAATCAATTTGCCACTGAAAGAGTGGTGGAAATAGCATAGGAATCAGAGTCAGAAAGATTAGGTGTCAATTATGGCTCTGCCATTTACTAGTATTGAGTAAGTTATTGCACCTTCAGTGCCTCTGTTTCATCAGCTGTATGTGGCTATAATGGTGACTCCCCCTTATTTAAGTTGTAAAGGTAAAAATTTACATGTGATAAGGCACTTAATAAATTACAGCTCTCCAATAAGCCACTTCCACCTGAAACACTGCCTGAACAGTGGGTACACTTCCCTCCCTGGGGTGGTTTTGGATACTGTTTTTCTTATTTAAAAATAATACATTCTCAGGAGGAAAGGGGAGGGTAAAAAAATAAAAGTAATACATTCTCAAAAATTACAAAGCCGCACAGGAGAAAAGATCACCTCAAATCCCACCACCCAGTGGTAACCTCACTAAAATCCTGGCAAATTTCATTTCAGTCATTTTGCCATGTATGTTTCATGACATATTTTTAGAATATTTACAAAATATAGAGAAAGTGTAATGAAGAAAAATAAAAATCATTACCTCTACCACCTCAGTTCTGTCTTTTTGGTATAAGTGCACCAATGTTTAGGCCACGGATCTTAAAGTGTAATTGAATGATTGTGGCCAGGCTGAATTCATTTTTTTTTCCAGGTAAATGTGATATATTTCTATAAAGCACATTTCTCTTCTAATAAAACATCACTTACTGTTTTCGCCATCCCTAAGAGTCATGTTTCTGGTGTAAGAGATATTCAGTCTTTTCCCACTGCTGGATGCAAATGGAGAATATTGATCTAGAAGAAATTCAACAATAAATTTATGCACATCAAGCCTACTAAATTTATACCTTACAAAAGAAAACAGAAAGCACAGTTCCTATACTGGCAGCTCAAATATGTTTTTCTTTGTTCTTCTCATTGCTTTAAATTTAAATTAGATATTTCAATTTGCATCCCAGGAAATTTCACATGAAAAACCCCAGCTTCTCTTAAAAACTGAAGATATCTGCAGCCTACAGTCTCATTCTCTGGTGGCATGAGCCACACAGTAGCCATCCCTTTTTAATTTAATTTAATTTAATTTTTTTAATCCTTACTCCAAGATATTTTTTCCATTGCTTTTCAGAGAGAGTGGACAGGGGAGAGAGAGAGACATATCAATTGGTTGCCTCCTGCTCCAGCCCTGACCAGGACAAAGCCTGTAACCGAGGCATGTGCCCTTGGCCAGAATCTAACACAGGACCCTTCATTCTGCGGGCCGACGCTCTACCACTGAGCCAAACCAGCCAGGGCTGGCCATCCCTTTTGCTGGGGCGAATCAGTCCGGGTCACCCAAATCTCTACCACTCACCGTTTTTCTTTCACCTGGCCTCCCTTATTCCCCATGTTACTGGCCCACCCAGAGGTGTTTGGTCGTACACCCTCTGTTGGACAACATCCAGAAGCTACAGCATAGCGAAAGTGAAGCAATTTATTCTGAAGTTCATATCCGTGCTGGTTATAAATTTTTTTAAAAAGAAAAGGTGAGAGTAAGAGGACACTGCATTCTAAAAATGCTAAGTACAGGCTTAGGAATGCCATATGGGGCACATTTAGCTGCACTTCATTTAATGTAACAGGACAAAGTGAGGATAGAGCACAAATCTCCTAAAGATGTAATTATACATTTTAAGCTTTCAATACAACTTTCTTGAAAGAATCTAGAAATTAATGATCCTAATAATAGGATACTATAATAATATAATAATCCTAACAATAATGAAGAGATAAATGGATTCAATTTTTTTTTTCCTGTTTGTTCCAAAGGTCAGAGTGAGCTTAAGGAAATATCATGGAGCAAGTTTGGGAGAGCTCCGGTTTTGCTCCATTCAGAGGGAAGAAGTGTTTAAAAGGAGAACTGACAGAAACTGTAATAAGCTAATGAATTTCCATTGTTAGGAAGTTGGGCAACAACTTAGCGGGATGCTGAGGCGGGGACGCACGCACGAGGCAGTCAGGATGAACCTCTGCCAGCCTTTCCCGTGCTCCGGCTCTATGACACGGTGAAGTACCCAGGTCTCCAGTTAGTCAAAAATTTGATCACAGAGTCAAAAACGAGAGGAGGAGATAACAATAAATCTTGGTTAATCCAGCAGAATCTGAGAGTCTCCAGGACCCAGGAAGTTGCCGCAGGTACAGAGGCGACAGCAAAGTAGGTGGTAGGGAGTGGTGGGCAAAAGAAGTCGGAAGGAGTCAGCGCGGGCTGCGCAGGAACGAGTGTTGGCTGAAAAGAGATCCATCTCTAATTGTTAGGTGATTAGTTAAGTTATATTTAAAGGGTTAAAAGTGTTTATGGGGGATGCCTGGCCTGGTGTGGCTCGGGTAGAGCATCGACCTAGGATCCAGGAGATCACGGTTTGATACCCGGAGGTGAGGGCACAGACCCAGGCTGTGGGCTCGATCCCCAGTGGGGGGCGTGCAGGAGGCAGCCGATCAATGACTCTCCCATCATTGATGTTTCTATCTCTCTCTCTCCCTTTCCCTTCCTCTCTCTGAAATCAATAAAGATGTATTTAAAATAAAATTAAATTAAATTAAAGTGTTTATGGAGTGTACCCAGAATATGTGAAGAGCTCTACTTATCCTACAAACCACATTAGCAGAGGATGGTGTCAATCACTGAGAAGGGAGGCAAGAGTGGCATAAAGAAAGAAATGCATGTTCAGTAATTATCCGTAAAATCTTGACAAGTAGAGGAAACAGACGCGCGTTCCATACCTTGCAGCTGAGTTTGGAAAACATTAGACACAGCTTTCTCCTTGAGGATGAGGCCCAGAGCTGCCTGGCACAAAGACTCCTTGGCCGCAGCCTTCCGCTCGGGCAGCAGCTCCTTGCTGTGCTGAGGGATGAAATCAGTGTGCACGTTCCCAGCAGTGAAGTCCGGGTGGCCAGCCAGGCGGAGGAGGAAGTCAATGTTGGTTTGCAGCCCGACAACCTAGGAAGAGAATCCAGCCCACGTCCCCGGTGAGTGGGGAAGACGAGATTCAGCCCGTTTGCATGGCTTCTGCGCCTTTGCTAAGTATTTTCTACTATGAGCAACCCTCAGGGAAACCAAACCAAACCAAACCAAACCCCTCTTCAGCATCACTGTATTTCTGAACTTAACACTTAAAACTACATTTACTATGATGAAGAGGCCACCGGAAATGGTGTTAGTGTAGGTAATGTGGAGAAGACATTTAATTGACTCAGGCCAGCAAAGTGAGAAATGTTAAGAAACTTAAATGAGATTTATTGGCAAGATATTGAAGGCCTGCCACTCGGAACACTCAGCAGTGGAGGGAGGGCAGGGTTACTACACTGGGGAGGGGTTAGGATTAAACCTCAAGAGAGTGTCCTTCCAACACTAAAATCCAAATTTTACACACTGATATAAAAATAAAAAAGGTATAAAGCTGAGCCCAATAAATGGAATCAAGGGTAGAACCAGCTATCTGAGCCTTGAGTTTACTCATTTGTTCATTTGTTCATTCATTCATTTGCCATGTACTGAGCACCTTTTAGGTGCCAGACCCTGATTGAGATACTGGGAACACAGTGAAGAACAAAGCACACAAAGTCCTTACCCTCACAGAGCTTACATTCTAGGGACAGATAATAAATAGTATCTATAAATAAAGTTCTAATACAATGTCAGGTGATACGAAGAAAAATAAGACTGGCTAAGGGCACAGAGAATGGCGAAGGATCCTATTTTAAATGGGCAGTCTTGCCTGGCCAGGCGTGGCTCAGTGGTTAAAGCGTCGACCTAGGATCTGGGCGATCAGGGTTCGATTCCCGGTCAGGGCACATGCCCGGGTTGCGGGCTGCAGCCGATCAATGACTCTCTCATCATTGATGTTTCTATCTCTCTCTCTCCCTCTCCTTTCCTCTCTCTGAAATCAATAAAGATATATTTTAAAAAATAATAAATAAATAAATAAAAAATAAATGGGCAGCCTTAAAAGGACTTTGAGGAGGTGAGCAGTGGCTGAGGATGGTGGGACGGAGGGAGTTCTGTGATCATGTTGGGGAAGAACATTCTGGAAGAGAAAACAGAAACACATGGCTCCATGCTGTGTGTGTCTAAGGAATGGCAAGGAGGCCAGTGTGGTTGGAGCCACAGAGACCAGAGGTTGATCCAAGCAATGACACGTAACAATCAGAATATCATGGGTTAATAAGAAATCTTTCTATGAAGCCAAATCAGCTGGTATGAGACTAACTGCACTAAGAATATTAATGTGCTACAGAAAAGCAACAAACTATCAAATGGATAAAACTGAACATAATTATTTTCCTTTGGAGGAAATAATGCCAGACTGTAGGCCACATTTGTGTAGCGGGCCTTATCAACAGGATGAAGAGGAATTTCCTATCAGATTTCACTGAAGTATAACACTGACATTAACAGTTTCAGTCCTGCAATCTTTCTTTTCTAGCTGAAATCAGGAAGTCCTCACTCACACCCATGGGAAATTCTCCCAAGTGAAATTATTTTGATCGTGACATATGGGTAGTTGGTGGAAATAAGCTGACAAAGACTGACCAATCATGACAGACGTGCCTGGCTGCAGAGATACAGGGAGCAGCAGGGCCACCGACATGGCCCCCGTCACTCACATGGTACTGACGAAGGCGGTACCTTAGTTTTGTCAAGGCCGCCTGGCGATCTGCAGCCCACACAACCAGCTTGGCAATCATGGGGTCATAATGCACGGACACTTCGTCTCCTGAAATTGAAAAACCACAACAACCTCTCAAAGTCAAAACCAAAGGGATACAATAGATAGCAGGACATTCTGCTGGGGCTTTATGTACACTCCACACTCAATCCTCACAGACCACTGCATGACAGATAGTATCACCACCATTTTATCTGTGAGGAACTCAGGCTCACAGAGGTTCAAAAACTTATCAAATGTCTAAGGAGGGTATGGCCACCCAAGAGCACCAGGCCCCAAAACAGTGACTGAAAGACACACGGCTGGATTCCCATCCTGCCTTCCTTCCCTCTGCCCCTCATATCACTGCCCTTAGCATTCTCCTCCCTGCACCCTATTTTCCTCAACAGACAAATAAGGACAATAATTCCTTTGGGGGTTGTTGAGAGGCCTGACAGTAAAGTGCCAAGTGCCATACCTGCCTGAGCTGACAAACATCAGCTACCATTATGATGACAGAGCACAGGAATCTGAATCGCTGGCTAGAAACTAAGTGAAGCGAAAGGATGTGGTGCGTTACAAAGACTACTGTTCTAGAGCCTTGTTGTGATTTTGGCAGGTCACTTGATCCCTCTGACATCCAAGGTCTTCATATATAAAATCAAGGGGTTGGATTACACTTCCTTACCCATCCATCCATCCATCTACCCATCCACCCACATGTATTGAGCACGTTCTAGGCCTAGGCTTGAGCAAGGTGCTGCAAATATAACACGGAAGACAGTCCCTCCCTTAAGAATCTTACCATCTGATGGGGAAATAGACACGGAATAGATTACCATAAAATAATATAAGGGCAATGTCTGAGGAATGCACAGGGGCTCAGGGGACACAGAGAAGGAGTGCTGGGAGAAGCTTCTTGGACTAATTATCCTTCCCAGTGTCAAGATGTAAACCTGGAGTCCTTCTCAGAATTACATCTGTAACCCCTTGGGCACGTTTATAAAATTACATTGCAAGCTCTGTTGGCCCCACAGGTTTTTTCTTTTCTATTGCATGGGCCATCTTTTCTTTCCAAGCTGTTCTGCTTATGTTAAGTTAAAAAATTTATTGACTACCACATCTTGCTGTGGCTTAGCCAAGAGCTATCAAAATGTTGCCAATTTATCAAGAAGCCCTAATTCCTCATTTTGGCTTTCAAGGCCCCATATGATTTAATCTCAGTTTATGTCTGTCTCCAGCCACATCTCCAAGTACTTACCATCCTAAGCCATTTTCCCAGCCACATATTTTCTTACAGATTTTCAAACACACCTTTAAGTCCACTTTTCTTTAATTTGTTAAATCTGCCTACTCAAATCCACTCCAGACTTCTTCTTTAAAAAGTATCCAACATTACCTCTTAGTCCTGAGAACTGCTGTAACTTCTCTGTAACTAAAGTAAGGTGGCAACAGATAGTGGTGGCTCACAGCAGACTGCCTGGGTCTGAATCTTGGCTGCAAGGGTGATCTTGGGCAAGTCGCTTAACTTCTCTGTGCCCTGATCTCTTCATCTAGAAAATGGGGGTACTAATATTACCTACTCATAGGGTAGTTCTCACGGTTAAAGGAGCCTATATAGAAAAATTACCCAGAACAGCACGTGAACATAAGTGCTAAGTAATTACTACTTATGACCATTGTTATTAATCAATGCTAAATTATAGCAATGATAGCTCTTGCACTGTTATTTTACTTTTAAATTTCTTTTATTATTGTTTAGCTTGCACTAAGTTTATATATATATAGTAATTCTCCAGCTTGACTTGGAGGCAGAGTGCCTTAAGCTTAGAGAATATCAGTTACCTTAAATCATTTTTTGAACCAGACAAAGTAAAAGATATAAAACAATACACACAAAATATTTGTTGCTAGGTTTCACCAAACACTGCTGCATTTCAAAAAAGAGCATATTGGTTAAATTACTAGTCATTCTTTAAAAATAACTATTCTAGAAGGAAAAATAAAGATTACCGAGAAACCAACTAAGTCCTTTATTTTGAAACATACTAGACATTTCCACAAAACACAGGGAAAAGACCCCATCCAAAAATAACGCACTAAAAATTCAAAAAGACTTTCTGTTTTATTTCCGTTTACCTTGCCGTACTCCAGTTTCAATCCTAGTGGAAAGGTCTGCTGGAGGGGTGGAGAGATGCACTAGTGGTCCGGCCCCTGGCATAAAGTTATTGTAAGGATCTTCTGCATATATTCTTGCTTCAAACGCATGGCCCTGCAGAGTTATTTCTTCCTGGCTCAAAGGAATCTTCTCTCCTGCTGCAACCTGGTAACAGAAGAGTATATACTTCTTATAAAAACCCACCTTAAAGCAGCTATGAGACTAGTAAGTTGGTGGTCTTGTCATTTTTACGTAAAATGTACATTTGGACTTTACAATGAAGCCAAATAAAAATTATTATTTTATCCATCCCCTCGAGTATTGGGCAAAAGCAAAAAGAGATTTAAACACAGAGGCAGCTTAAAAATAAAGTATTAATTACAATGGGCTTCTAGAGTTTTAAAATAGAGAAAGCAGGCAAACTGCTGACTAAATTATAAAAATCAGTGGTTTTTTTCCCAATATAATTGAAACTAAGATTTCCTTCTGGCACTACAGTCTCAGTTTTCATCTAAAACATTAGTACTCAGTTACCAAATCAATCTTTTTTTTTAATAGTAAAGTTTTAGTTGGTGTTTATGCCTATATCCATAGTATGACATTAGACATCTTTGTAATTTCAATCAGCAAGCAAGTGATAAAACAAAACAGAAAGGGGGACATATGGTTTTCCAATTTTATTATGTTTATGTATATTGTATGACACCAGATTATAAACAGGATGAGCATTGCTGTTTATCACTGCTATAATTATTACTATTTTGGCCATTATGAAATACAACATATCTCTCCAACTAGTATAATTTGGGAAAGATTATTGGGGGGACTTGCTGTCACACTCTCCCCTTAAGTTTTCCTCCAAGATGAGAAAATGACAACCCGAGAAAGCAAACGATACAGGGGGAAAAACCCTAAGTAACTTAGCGTCACACTGAACTAAACAGGTAAGCATAAAACAGAAGCAAAGGTTTCATCTCTTTCAGTACATAAATGAGAAAAATCAGGAGCCACAGCAGTTAAGAGCAGGACAATGGACTGAATAGAATGCCTTCCCGGCGCTGTTTCAAACCACAGGCTGCAGCCCTCTCCTTAGATACCTTTTATCCTTCATGATTTCAAGATTCTGGGCTCTCTTGGGCTACTACTTCAGAAAAAAAAATTTTTTTCCTTGAATTCTGGAAACATAAGCACTCTCTCCAGAAGCTTTCATATCCACTACAGTTTTCCTGACACCCGCTAACACTTACTAGCTTGATGTGCCTGGTTCTCATTAGCTCCCAAGGCTACAGAGGCCCAGAAGAATCTTTTGGCTCAATGAAAACTACCAATCACCTCCAAGGAAACAGCACAAGAAACATCATATTATTGCCCACAGAAGTTCTGAAAAGACAATATTACCAAAATAATCAAGACTTTAGCACCACAATATGAAAAGAACAATTTAGATTCAGGATATATAAAAAACTAAGAATCCCACGGAAATCAACTATTCATATGACTTAAAAAACCTTTTTTATATTTAAAAAAAGAAGGCTGAGATATAATCTATTGTTTTCAATAAAGAAAAAAAAATACTAAGATATTATTAATAATATTTGAAATAATATGCTTTGTGGAACTGGTTTAGGCCAGTGCTTCTCACACTATCTATAATCGAGGAACAGTTGTGGACTTAAACTTTTGTAAAACCAGTAGGTATGTCATAGCCATGCGAAATTGCTTTAAAAACTTCTAATCATGTACTGTGAATGTTCATACTTATCCCACCATAGACCAGCAACCGTGTGTAAGTCAGCACTTGCACATGGACCACTGAGTTGATCTAGATCATTCCCTGGGGCTCTTCCTTCCCAACTCTATTTTAGCTCATTTCATCTTGGCTGGCATCTGTCCTGCCTCTAAAATCTAATGATGGCCTGGCCCAGAAGGATGGCCTTAGGTAAAGCACAAGGCTTTATTTTTTTTTTTTAGGGGTTTTTTGTTTTTAATGTATTTTATTTTTATTTACTTATTATTTATTTATTTATTTATTTATCTTTATTGTTGAAATGATTACAGATGTCCCCCTTTTTCCCCATTGACCCCTTTTACCCCGCACCCACTCCCTGCCCCAGAGACAATGTGGTCACCAGCCACCCTCAGTGGCAGCAGCTCACTGGCAGGCTGCCCCTTGCCTAAGGGGAAATGATGGTAATTAACAGATTAGGAATCTGTGTCCATAAAGTGACAATGTCATAGCATCAAACGCAGTGTCACCTTTAACCTCCCATTTTCCTCTCCTCATCACAACCAGCAAGAATTGGACCCTTATCCAAAATGACACCTTCGTTTAAGAGGACAGAAGGTAACCTGGCATTTAGTAGAAACACATTCCCACCTTAAGCTGCCACGCCACCAAGTCAGTTCCTGTGATCATCTCAGTAATGGGATGTTCCACTTGCAGTCTCGTGTTCATCTCCATGAAGTAGAAATTGTGCTGTGAGTCCATAATAAACTCCACAGTTCCTAAAAAATAAAACAAAACAGTCACATTTCAACAGTACATAATCAGTAGTGAATTAAAATCTTCCATGATGTATCACAGTTTTACCACTGTGTTCATTCAATGGTACTTTGGTATTTCATGAAAAAAATATTTCACATGCTGTAGCAGCAAATGAGTCTCAGTCAAAAATAGGGAGCCACATGAAATTTTGCAACATAAAAATATATTTGTGGTTTTAAGCAAATGCTAAGCCCAAGATATGAAGCAGTCCCGGCTGTGGCAGCAGTGAGAACATGGTTGCCATGTGTTGCTGCTTCAGTGCTCCCAGATCCATGGGGGCCACACCCTGTGACGGCCCATCTCTCTGGCCCTGTGGACAAAAATACAATCTTGTTTCCTTAGTTGTGGGCTCTTGAAATTTTCCTTTAAAAGTCCTTTTGCTAGTGATCCATTGAAAGATTGCTTAGCAACTAAGCCTTATGTTAACAATGTCTTATCTACTGGCATTTTATTAAGCACTACAAACTTCCCCCAGCTTTATTAAGGTATAAAAATTCATCCATCTTAAGTATGGGTATACTGACTTTTGGCAGCTGAATACAGTCATGCACTCGCCACCACAATGAAAATACAGAACATTTCCATCATCTAAAACATTCCCTTGCTGCCCTTTGCAGTCAGTCCCTTCCCTAAGCCCCAGGCTCCAGGCAATCACTAGTCTTCTTTCTGTCATTATAGTTTTTTCTAGAATGTCATATAAATAAAATAATGTAGAACAGAGTATTTTGTGCTTAAGTTTTTTCACTTAGCCTAAAGTTAGTTCCATATACAGTTGACCCTTGAACAACACTGGTTTGAACTGCACAGGTCCACTTATGCAGGGATTGTTTTCAATAAATATATTGGAAAGTTTTGTGGAGACTTGCAATAATTTACCAAAAACCAGTGGGTGAACTGCCTAGCCTAGAAATATCAAAAAAAATGAGAAAAAGGTATGTCGTGAGTGTATAAAATAAATGTAGATACTAATCTATTTTATCATTTACTACCATAAAAATACACAAATCTATTATAAAAAATTAGTCCTGGTTGTGTGGCTGAGTTAGATGGAGTGTCGTCCTGTACACCAAAAGGTTGTGGGTTCGATTCCGTTAGGGCACATACCTAGGTTGGTGGGTTTGATCCCCAGTCGGGGTGCATACAGGAGGCAGCCTATCAGTATTTCTCTCTCTCCCCCCTTCCTCTCTCTCTAAAATCAATAAAACATACCCTTGGATGAGGGATAAAAAAAGAAAAATTAAAATTTATCAACACACACACTTATTACAGACCATACATGACACCATTCACAGTCAAGAGAAATGTAAACCAATCTAAAGATGAAGTATTAACTCACAACTGCATAAAATTAATGTGGTACATACTGTGTTCTGCAATAATTTCATAGTCACTGCCTGCTGCTATTGCAGTGAGCTCAAGTGTTGCAAGTATACATATAAAACACCAGGTGAGGCTAATCATTTCCCTGTGAGCCAGGAAATTGCATATCACTGTAAAAAGTGATCTCTCACGGTTCTCGCATACTTTTCATTCTGTTTAGTGCAATATCGTAAATCTTGAATAACACCATGGGACCCATACAAAGTGCCACTAGTGATGCTGGAAGTGCTTCCAAGAAGCAGAGAAAAGTCATGACATTGTGGGAAAAAGTTGAATTGCTTGATATGTACCACAGAGTGAGGTCTGAAGCTGTGGCTGCCTACCACTTCAAGATAAATGGATCCAGTGTAAGGATAATTGCAAAATAAGAAAAGGAAATTTGTGAGGTAATCACTCTAGCTATGCCTGCAGACAGAAAAACCCTGCACTTTTCGCAAAATACCTTTTTATCTCATACTGAGAATGCAGCTTTTATATGGGTGCAGCGTTGCTATGAGAAAGGCATACCTTTAGACTCTAATATGATTCGAGAAAAAGAGCAGTCCATTATATGACAACTTAAAAGTAAAAAGACAGCGAAGGCTCTAAAGCTGGAGAATTTAATGCCAGCAAAGGATGGTTTGATAATTTTAGGAAGAGGTTTGGCTTAAAATTTGTCAGGATAACAGGAAAGGCAGCTTCCTGCGAACAAGAGGCGGCAGAAAAATTCCCAGATGCCAATATGAAAATCACTGAGCAAAAAGGATGTCTGTCTGAACAGGTTTTTAACACAGATGAAAGTGCCCTATTCTGGTAAAGAAATGCCACAAAGGCCATTTGTTAGTGAGGAAGAGAAGCGAGTACCAGGATTTAAGGCAGGAAGGGACAGGTTAACTCTACTGTTTTGTGCAAATGCAATCTGGTTTGACTAACTGTTGTGATAGCTGCTAACCCTCAGCCTCGGACAGAATACAGAAACACCAGCTGCCCATCTTCTGGTATAAAAAGCCTGGACAAGTACCCCTTTTCTGGACTGGTTCCATTGACACTTCATCCCTGAAGACAGGAAGTACCGTGCCAGTCAGTAAGGGACTGCCTTTTAAAGTTCTTTTGATATTGCCCGGCCGGGCGTGGCTCAGCGGTTGAGCGTCGACCTAGGATCCAGGTGATCGGGGTTTGATTCCCGGTCAGGGCACATGCTCGTGTTGTGGGCTGCCAGCTGATCAATGACTCTCTCATCATTGATGTTTCTATCTCCCTCTCTCCCTCTCCTTCCCTCTCTCTGAAATCAATAAAGATATATTTTTTTTAAAAAATTTAACTTTAAAGTTCTTTTGATATTGGACAATGCCCCAGGCTACCTGGAACCCCATGGGTTCAACACCAAAGGTGTCAAAGTGGTCCACTTGCCCCCAAACACAATGTCTCTAATTCGGCCTCTAGATCAGGGGGTGACAAGGCCCTTTGTGGCTCTTACGCACAGCACTCCATGGAAAGGATTGGCAATGCTACGGAAGAGAACCCCAGTAGAGGGATCATCATGAAAGTCTGGAAGGACTACACCACTGAAGATGCCATCATTGTTACAGGAAAAGCTGTGAGACCATCAAGCCCCAAAAATAAGTTCTTTGCCGTGAACACTGTCCAGGTGCTGGGCGTGACTTAACAGGATTCACGACAGAGCCAGTCAAGGAATCATGAGGACAGGACAGAAAAACGAAACACAAAACAAACAAAACTAAAAAAGGGGGGGGCAGGGAGGGTGTCAAGATATAGGTCTTGGAAGAATTCAAGAAGTAATAGATACCACGCCAGAGCGATTAACAGAAGGCGCCTCGAAGGAGATGAGTGCTGCTGAGCCCGTGTCACCCGATGAGGGAGGGGGCGTCGAAGCAGAGCAGAAAGCAAGGGGACGTGAGGCAAGATGGCAGAAGGGTCCTGATTCTTCAAGACCGCTTGGACTTCTTTTACCACAGGGGCCCTTCTCTGACACAGCCGCTGAAACTCAAGTGAATGGTGGAGAAGGATCGGCACCATACAGAAGCATTCTTTGGAGAAATGGAAAAGCAAAGAAGTCAGGCAGAAATTCTGATGTATTTCTGTGAAGTTAGGCTGAGCGCCCGCTTCTCCTGCCTTGCCAGCCACTTCCTCCGCCCCTTGCACCCCGAGCCAGCAAGACCAGCCCTTCCCCTTCCCCCTCAGCCTATTCACACCAAGATGACAAGGGCGAAGACCTTCGTGATGACCCACTTCGACTTAATGAATAGTAAGTAATCATGCTGTACAGTTGATAAGCTTATCTGTTGTGTATGTGTACCTTCCTCTGGAAATCTAATAAGTGTCCAGCAAGAACTATATGGCATTTTTGTGTTATCAGCCTCATTGCCGAAATAGTCATTACGTAGAACGTCAGGTCAAGACTGTACTGAAGTGGACAGCCTGTACTCACATAGGCATAGGTGAGTGATACTGAATATAATTTATAACTTTGCTTTCATAAAATTACATTACTGTACAGTGTCTCTCTCTCTCTCTCTCAATTGGTGATACTGTGTATCAGCCTATTATCACAGGTAAGTGGTTTTTAAAAAATGTAACAGTGTGCCCTGGCCTGTGTGGTTCAGTTGGTTAGGTGTCATTTTGTGCACTCAAAGGTTGCCGGTTCCGTTCCCAGTCAGGGCACATGCCCAGGTTGTGGGCTCAGTTCCTGGTAGGGGGCATGCAGGAGGCAGCTGATCAATGTTTTGCTCTCAAATTGATGTTTCTCTCTCCCTCTAAAAAAAGAAAATCAATAAAAAAATCTTTAAAAAATATATATATATTGCTTTTAAAAAAGTGTTTCCAATACTGTATTATAAATAGACTATAATACCATATGCCACAAAAATGTTACAATGATCCATTCATTTTTAAACAGGCTAGGCTACTGTGAAGCAATCATATAAATTTAACAAATTATATACAAGATCTATAGGAAAAAACTACAAAACTCTGATGAAAGAAGTCAAAGAAGAACTAAATAAATAAATGGAGAGAAAGTTCATGTTCATGGAATACTGTCAAGATGTCAGTTCTTTTAAATTTAATATAATAGATTCAACACAACCCCAATTAATATCCCAGCAAGTTATTTTGTGGGTATCATAAAACTAATTCTAAAGTTTATATAGAGAGACAAAAGACTCAGAATAGCCAACTCAATAATGAAGATGAACAAAGTTGGAGGACTGAAACTACCTTACTTCAAGACTTACTATAAAGCTACAATAATCAAAACAATCAAGTACTAGTGAAAGAACAGACAAACAGGTCAACAGGACAGAATGGAGGGCCCAGAAACAGACCCACATAACTACAGTCAACTTATCTTTGACAAAGAAGGAAAGGAAGCACAATGGAGCAACAAGTCTTTTCAACAAACGATGCTGGAACAACTGAACATCCACATGCAAAAAAAAAAAAAAATGAGTCCAGACTCATACCTTACACCCTTCACAAAAATTAACTCAAAATGGATCACAAACCTAGATAGCAGAGGAGAAAACCTAGGTGACCTTGGTATGAAAATGCTCTTTTAGATACAACAAAAAAGGCACAATCTATGGAAGAAATAATTGATAAACATATGGTAAGTAAGCAAATGAAAAGATGCTCTACATCATGTCAACAGGGAAATGCAAATTTAAAACAACAATAGATACACACCTATCAGGACAGCCCAAATCTGGAACACTAAATACCAAATCACGGTGAGGGTGTGGCGCAACAGGAATTCTCATACATTGCTGCTGAGAATGCAAAATGGTATGGTCACTTTGGCAGTTCCTTACATAACTAAACATAATCTTACCATATGATCTAGCGATCTGGCCTCTTGGTATTTACCCAAATGAATCGAAACTTATGTCCATGAAAAACCTGCACATGGATGTTTATAGCAGCTTTATTTATAATTGCCGAAATTTGGGAGCAACCAAGATGCCCTCCAGTAGGTGACAGGATGACTAAACTATGACACATCCAAACAATGGTACGCTATTCAGTGCTGAAAGAAAATGAGCTATCAAGCCATGAAGAGACCTGGAAGAACTTAAATTCATATGAATAAGTAAAGGAAGCCAGTCTTAAAAGGCTACATGTTGTAGGATTCTAATATAAAATGTTTGGAGGTTTTTCCCTGTGGATCTGGTCAAAAAAGTTTGAAAGCCACTGATATAAAGCTATATGCTTCTTTTGCTTCTGAAACATAAATAATTACTTCTCCTTATCTTTTAGAAACAAATCTTAACATACCTGCTCCGACATAATTTACAGCTTTAGCAGCTCTGACTGCAGCTTCCCCAAGTTTTTTTCTTACTTCAGGCTTAATACCAGGCTATGAAAAAATATTTAAGTAAATTCCATTAGTATCTTGCCCCACTAGAAATTTCCACTAAGATACAATATTACATCTCTGTGTATCAAATAATGCATTAAAGAAATAATAATAAAGATAAAAAGCTAACTTTCACAATACCAAAGTTTAATGGTTCTGCTAACAGTTTCTATGAATTGCAGATATTCCTCAGTATAATGACATATCTTTGTCACTTGTACCTACATAAAAACTTTTATGACTCTATGTCCACTTAAAATTAAATGTATGAATATGAAAACTTTGAACAATCTCTGTTTTAAGATGATAAAGCAATCTGGGTCATGTGCATAATAATTATCTTGGAATATGGTAAACCTTGAGATTCCAAGTTAATAAGAAAGATTCAAAAAAAGAAATGTATGTCAATAAATGGGCAATGCTTTTAACATTTTAAAAACTGCGCTCTACAGATATATATTCAAGCAGTCACTGTTTGAAAATAAGGCTTTACTGAAATGATTGTGGACATTTACTTCAAAAGGTATAACATACTGCAACAGAAATTAAAATTTAATATGAGAATAACAAACAGATTAACCAGAAACCTCAGACCTCTAACCTGATAAAACTACATACATGATAAAAACATGTATGGTAGTCCCCTCTTACCCATGGGGATATGTTCCAAGATCTCCAGTATGGCTCAGTTGGTTGGAGCATCGTCCCGTACACTAAAAGGTGGCAATTTGATTCCCAGTCAGGGCACATGCCTGCGTTGTGGGTTTGATCCCTGGTTGGGGCATGTGCAGGAGGCAATTCATCCATGTTTCTCTCTCCCCCCCTTCCTCTATAAAATCAATAAAGTATTTAAAAAATATCTCCAGTGGATGCCTGAAACTGCAGATAGTACCAAGCCCTATGTATGTTTTCTCCTATACATACATACCTTTTCAATTAAAGGAAGCAATTATAGCTTCTCTTTGTCATATCCGAATTGTCAGCATCACTACTCTTGCACTTTTGAGCTATTATTAAGTAAAATAAGGGTTACTTGAATAGAAATAATATGATAGTCAATCTGATACCTAAGACAATACTAAGAACCTAACAGGCCGGACAAATGGATGATTCACACCCCCGGTGGGATGGCATAAGATTTCATCACACAACTCACAACCGTGTGCAATTTAAAACTTAAAAATTTTCTGGAGTTTTACTTTATTTTATTTTTGGGATTTTTGATTTAAGATTTTCAAACCACCACTGACCATCGGTAACTGAAACTGTAGATAAGGGGGACTACTGTACATAACCTTGAGCAAGCAAAGAAGCCTGTGGCACTAGCAGGCTCCAAAGAAATGTAAACCCCAAAATAAGTAAAACTCCTGGTAGGCCTTGACCCAGATAACAACCTAAGCCAATCAAGAGGTAGGCCTGAAGAGATGTAAATAATTCTGAGAGCGCAGAATTTGTCAAATAAGGGCAAATCTCTGTCCTCCACAGTACAGCAGGAAGATGACTAATATATTTTAGCGACATCTCAAACAGCAGTTACAACAAGTCGTCTTCATAGAAAATACATTCAACTAACCAGACCACTCCATTCCGTAACCATTCTGGTTGATTACAATTTAAAATCTGTATAGAAACACTATACAGCTGCTTGTTCTAAGTCAGAACCTTGGATCAGAGCAGTGTCCTAGAAAGTATCCAGATGAAACAGAGCCCTGTGTCCTGTGTGGTAGCCCCAGAACATCAAACCCCTCCTCATCCCTACACTGGTGGGACTTTATCCTTATACTACAACTGCGAAGTGGATGTCCAGCAGGACTTTGGGGGGGACACTACCTTCACAGATTTCTGATGTGAATATCAGAGCAGCTTGGGTTTCCCTTATGAGAAGCGTAGAAACTTCTTTACACGGTCCTTACCCCTGGGGCTTCCTCAATGATCTTCTGATGCCTCCTCTGTACACTACAGTCTCTTTCAAACAAGTACACAACATTGCCATGGTGATCACCAAACACCTGGACTTCTACATGCCTATTTAAAAGCAAACACTCATGTTAATATACTTTGTTAAGGATGACAAATATCACATTCAATAAGCCAAACTATTGGCCAAGGTGACCAGGATACCTCTATTTTTATTATAAGTAAGATGTGATATTTTGGCCTCAAAATAGAGGATATGAATTTAGAAACAGAACTATAGTAAACCTTATAAACACACAATGAAAAACTTTCCATTTACTGGATGAACATTAAAGAAAAAATATATATGAAATGACTGGGAAATAAGAAAAGACAGAAAAGACAGGAGACTATATTTATGACCTTGGAGTAGGGGCAAGGTACAAAAAGTACAAACTGTAAAGGGAAATACTGGTAAATCTGACTATGTAAAAATTGTAAGTTATAGTCTTATTTCATACATACTCAAAAAGCTAATAACTTTTTTTTAAAGTTTCTTTATCTTTATTGTTGAAAATACCATAGATGTCCCCTTTTTATCCCCATTGATCCCCGCCACCCTGCATCCATCCCACCCCCAAGCCCTCCCTATACCAATGTCTGTGTCCATGGGTTATGCTTATAAACATATAAATTCTTTGATTTATCTCTCCCCACCCACACCCCACTCCCCACCTTCCCTCTAAGATCCCTCAGACTGTTCTATGGTTCTATGACTCTGGATCCATTTTGTTCATCAGTTTATTTTTTTTATTTTATTCCACATATAGGTGCAATCATGTGGTACTTGTCTCTCTGACTGGCTTATTTCACTGAGCATAATACTCTCCAGTTCACTCCATGCTGTGCCAAAAGATAAAAGATCCTTCTTTTTTATCTGCATCGTATTCCATGGTGTGAATGTGCCACAGCTTTTTTATCTACTCATCTACTGATGGGCACTTGGGCTGTTTCCAGATCTTAGCTATTGTAAATTGTGCTGCTATGAACATAGGGGTGCATAAGTTCTTTGTGATTGGTGTTTTGGGTTTCTTAGGATATATTCCTAGAAGTGGGATCACTGGGTCAAAGGGCAGGTCAATTTTTAATCTTCTGAGGAAACTCCACACTGCTTTCCATAGTCGCTGCACCAGTCTGCATTCCCACCAGCAGTGCACCAGGGTGCCCTTTTCTCCACACCATTGCCAGCACTTGTAGTTTGTTGATTTGTTGATGGTAGACATTCTGACAGGTGTGAAGTGACACCTCATTGTGGTTTTAATTTGCATCTCTCTGATAATTAGCAACGTTGAGCATTTTTTCACATGTCTCTTAGCCATCTGTATGTCCTCTTTGGGGAAGTGTCTATTTAGGTCCTTTGCCCATTTTTTAATTGGATTGCTTGTCTTCCTTTTG